GCCTGCTTGATTCAAAGCCAATATTACAAAACTGAAGGTGCCGTTTCTGATTTCACATCTGCAAGTCACTTGAAATTACGTGTCACATGTTAGTTTACAAATTGCAGTCTTTGATTTTCCAAACAGAGCTATTACAAATGAATACAAACTTGAAACATACCCTAATTTAACCTAATAAGCTTTGGGCCCTGCTTTTTAAATTTTAAGGCATGTGTGTTTTTCTACTGTACAACAACATTGTACAAATTTACATTTACAATCACATGCATGATCTACATTAAAAAAAAAGTTTGAATTACAGTGTTTTTAAATTGTGAATCACAATTCAGCACCTATCATGTTATAACTAATAAGGCAACAGCAGTGTCATATACTACATTACTCTCTTTTCCACAGTCTAGCGCAGGGGCCAATGAGAGCCCAGAAATGTTAGAAATCTTATGCCTACTTGTATAATCTGTGTATGTTTTCTAGGGGTTTTGAACTGATGAAAGAGGTCCTACATGAATCACACTATTGTAGGCCGGACTAGTTATAGCAGCTGTTAACGAGCATCGGGCACAACTCATATTGTGCTTACAATCAGATGACGTGGTTTGAGGTTTTCAGCTCTTTGATTTCAATCCTTCCGTTGCTTCCTTGGTTTCTTCACATTGTTTTCCAGGGGAGAAAAGCTGTTGGTGTGTCCGTTCACAGCAGCCACGGACCCGTTCTGGTGGTCCTTCAGGTGTTCTTTCCTCCGGGAGGCCCCCTTCTTGTTGTAAGTCTGAAACACATAAGGGCAGATGACAGCCATGTGACCACAGGCAGATTTCTTTATGGGAACTTCACTAGCAATTACATCCCTAACACTAGGCCTACTTTCCTTTTATGATCAAATATTAGTAACTTCTGACTCAACTTTTTGCCACTCTTTCAATAACTCTTCCATTTTTTTGAGGCTCAGTCTGCAGTAAGTTCAGTAAATCACAGGCTGCAATAGAAATACTATTGAAAACATTACACAGAAAATTCAATTTACATATTACTCTGCTTTGCTTTTTCAGTAACTGGATGGCAGAGAACAGGGGTTATGTGGCCAAATTGGTTTCTTCCACTTGGTAGTAGTTCTCCCGACACCCACATCCCTTGCTCATCTTCAAAATTTTCTCTTACCTCAGTGACTATTTCAGCCCTCAAGTACAATGTGCTATGCTACTATAAACAGAGTAAGTGTGATTTCAGCTTCATCAGGTCCTACTTTTTACCCTCCCTTGTACCTGGTCTATGCTTCAGTGTAGTCATGAACTATTAAGCCCAGCAGTTTGTGACCTCAACTCATATACAATCCTACACTCAGGTGCCTTAGCACATAGAGAGGAAGAAAAATGGCTGAGCCCCCAGGTGGCTGCTCTACACCACTGGGCTCTACTACCTCAGGGCCCATGGCCTCTGCCCTTGCTCCTGACCTTGTGTGTCCTCCCCAGTCCAGTGGGCAGTGTGGCTACCAGGCACTGGCCACAAAAGCAGGAACACACCTCACCCGGGGGTAATAGGGAGCAGGAGAATCAGCAGTGTCTGCAAAGTAGTCAGGCTCCACTGGAGATAACCTGCCCTAAATGACCCCTTCTGTGAGCAAAAACCTACATCATTATAGTGTGCTTGGGAATGAACTGAACTCCAAACTTGAGCAGTGGATGTGTAAGAAAACTGAGTCAAAAAGGCAGATTTCTTTTTTTTTT